TGCCATATAGTGTGATGCACTTCTCTTGGGCTTGACCATAACAGCTCGATTAAGGTTGGAGAAGAGTGCCAAGTGTCCGAGACGTTCTCTGCCGGAGCTCATCATCAGTACATAATGATTGCTAGTCTATGTGTTCTCTATGCTGCGGTTGGTCAATTATATCAAGGCGGCCATATTTAGAAAAATTCGGTCACGTGGTGGAGACGCACAGCAGCGATAGGGACCGGTACAAGGGTCATTACAGAATGTTTTAATGGAATTGAAAGTGAAAGTTTTAACGAAGTTGTTTTGGTATGCAGTAAAGTGGACGTTCCAGGCCATTCATTTGTTAAGTGCCAGAAACGCTTTCATGAAGCTCTCTTTCCACACCTTCGAACAGGGATTATCGTGTATCGCGGTGCCTATCAAAGGGATGGGACCTTAAGTTAGACCCCGCATTGGTGCCCCGTTCGCGGTTACAGAGAGACCTTTTGAAACGTATCCAGTCCTGTATTCCCTTTCATGGCTTCCAGCATCGGATCGATGATTTGGTACATTCCCAGACGTTTCGCCGTCATCGTAATCATCATCTTCAACCCTCAGCACCGAGCCATAACTTGTCAAAGGGACGAATAAGGGCAATACTCGTGACCAATTTTCTGTTTAACCGTTAGGGCGAGATGCCACAAGGGTTAAACAAAAAATTATTCAAGAGAAGTGCTTTCACAATGACAGGTTCTTGCTCGGTGGCAAGGATGATGCCATGATGATGACGTTACCGATTATAATAACCGCGAAACGCCTGGTTATATAACAAGTTATTGGTACAATGCTAGAAATTGTTGACTCTTGTGTATTTAGCACTGGGTGACCAACTTAAGAAGATACGAAGATATGAAAACCAAGATGTTGTGGTCTCCTTTTGATTTATAGAAGTGGGTTGACCTCGTTGTCGCAACTTGGTCTTGTTGTCAGGGTGACTTAGTAGAATGCACCTTGTCCGAAGTCTTCTGCCATAGTAGTTATCGTAATCCCCAGCATCAGACCGTAGACTTGGTGCATTCTCAGAAGTGCGGAGAATGGCAGCACTCACTGATGATACCGACGAAACGTACCAAGAATGTACCAAGTACAAGTTCGAATGCTGGGAATTACGATAACTACTATGGCAGAGGACTTCGGACAAGGTGCGTTCTACTAAGTCGCCCTGACAACAAGACCAAGTGGCGACAACGAGGCCAACCCACTTCCTAAGAAGATACGGTTGACCAAAGAAGTAATAGCAGTTGTATAAGCAGGTAAATCTATATTTCCAGTTTTAAGTAGAGCTTCGAGCTTAGGGTACCTTTTGGGAAGCAAGGCTGTATGAAATCCATTGGAAACATGAGGCCTACTCATGGGATTGTGGTAAAATTAAACTACCAGTCCTTCCTAACCTTGACGAAATAAGCTGAACACAGTCCTTAACTCTACGTTGTTCTTGTGGTTTTAACCTTTCTGTGAACATTAAGTCAACAGACGACTTGACATTATCAGCTTTTGCTGAGCATCAATTCCAAGAGGCAGTTGAAGGAAGAATAATGTTCTTCTACACAACTGAGAGTACACCATTCCTGCTTCATGAGCATTATGCTCAAAGCGTTCAAACCTCCTCTTTGCCGGATCAAGTAACCACTACTGGCATTGTTGTTATGCTGTTGAAATTTGCCTTAGTTTCACTCAAATCGCATAGCTATGGTTTGATGATGAGTGCAAATGATAGTGAGATTTCGTCATCGTGATTCAAAAATTCCTGTTGTTCGCTTGCTTAGCATGAGACAGATCACATTACACGATCGAGAGGCTGACTAAACTAGCACTCTCATGGTGACAATTTTTGACGAATCGCTGGGGCCTACGCATTTGAGTGCGCAACTTTTAAGACCGCATCAGCACGAAGATAATAAAACTCGTGTAATTGTTAAACTCGTTTAGACAACAGCAGGGATTCCTCATAAACAGCTCCTCATGACAGTTCTTGTGGCAACCTGTATCGTCCAGAGCATTTTTATTTCACAAAAACGGCTAAAATGGCGTTCTGGATAGTGTCGATTCTTCGAACTTTGTCAGGAATTTCATATTCTGTCAGGCCTCTCGTCTCATTTCGGTTCAGATCACCTCTGCATGTGGTTTACACGTGGCCGCAGACTAAAGTAGCGGTCGGGGAGGATGTGCTTTTTTTATTTGGGAGCACGACTAGCCCACTCGGATAACAACCAGGATTGTGTTGGACACGAAACATCACCAACGTCAGGGCAGTGTGACAAACAACGGGTCACTTTGGCACAAATTTTTGCAGCAATGAAAATTACTGGAAGATGAACGTCTCTGCGGATTCTTCGAAGCCTTATTACTCAGCACAACGTAGTCTGTCATATACGCGAATAGTGACTAAGGTTTTTTGTTTATGGCATTTAAGTCGCTATATGTCGGCTGTGACAGACAAATTGGCCATTCTTGAGAGCAGATCTGATCACCTTTATTCACTACAAATATTGTGATCCACGGGTTGCCTCCAAAGTCTAATCAAGGCTGCATTACTCACAGACAGTACGATCAATGGAAGAACCACGAGATGTATTTGGGTGAACCCAGACCTTACTTTAGCTCACTTTTGTGGCTCGGGATCGAGACCCCAGACAAGCGAGAAAAATAGCGTTGCTAACAACAGTACGAGAAAAATAAGAGTTAACTTAAGAACTAGTACAGCAATTTTGAAAATTCGTGGGCTCAACGTTTATGACACACTGTTTTTTGAAAGCCCATTTCCGGCAATGGCGTAAACGGATTCCTTGTTCAAGGGCCTGACGACTGGCTTCAACTACGGAAAGTAAGGCTTCATTGTGTACGCAAAGCAGCTATTAAATTTGTTTCATACCCAACTTCCGTAGTCTGGTTAGTTTTTCGAGTTTTGAGTGCAACTGTAAAATGAAGTAATGCCAATAGCAGCCTAAAAAACCTTTTTTTGATAAGAAGGTACGCTGGAGAGTAGTGACCTCTCTTCACTTCTTCGAAGCCTTTTCTGACACCAGTTTTCACTCGAATTCAGCCTTTTTTGTGAACTTAGCCTCACACGCCGTTTGTTTCAATTCATTTGAGGGCAATAGGTTTTCGAGCCGAATTTGTTCGACAGAAGAAAAGTTCCGAATCCGAGACTTCTCCGTCAATTTGAAGTGTCTACAGACTTATTGTACCTTGGTGAAATTCTATTGTACAATGTGGTTACGTAAGAAAAAGTAATAGTGCTAACATAAGAAATATTTTGCCGTTAGTCGTTTAGCCTAAAAATGATCCCTTGGTCTGAGTTTAAGCTAATTTTTTTCATTTCTAGCAGAAAAGTGGGAAGTTTGATAAGCTTTTAAACTTTCCAAACCTTATATTTGAACTAGAATTGCAAGTACCCCAAGCCAATCTCGATGTCAACTTTGCCGCAAGACTTAAGCCACAATGGGTCACGAGTTTTGCGGCGAAGCGGACATCTCCAAGCCAGCATCCATAGTGGGATCGTTTGTACTTTTACGAAGATATCTCTGCTTCTCATCGACGCCACATGGGAGCAGAATTCACTCGAAAAACAGCGTATGTGCAGCGATTTTGTAGAAAAACGGTTGGTTTCGTTATCCTCTTGATCCATTATGCTAGTTGTACACCGTGTGCCACGTCATGCAGGCAAGGAAGGAGCAAGAGAAGAGGATAAATTTGCTCCTTTCCCCCCCCTTTTCACAACCTCTAACAAGGGAGAATGAGGAGGTGGCCTACTTAAACAGTCTGCACCACAGTTATACTGGCCGTGCTGGAACTTGCAAGTTGGCACCGAGAAAATGTGTGGTTCAACCCGCTCTGCCCTTGCCTGCACCATAAACAAATGGGGAAAAAGTGAAGAAATTTCGCTAGATCAGCTCTCTTCTCCAGTGCCCAGACATAAATACTCTTTTGGTCGTCTCTGATTGTTAAATAGGCAGGTAAAGCAGTGTTCTGTTTATTTTGTGCGGTTAGAAGCACATCACTGCAGAACTGGTGAAATTTTGGTTTGAGGTTGCTCCTCGCAAGCGTTTGATGAATACAAAAGCGATACAAAGAACGAGAGTGGTGAAGATTGTGATGGAGCAAAGGTCTGTGCGGGGTAGATAACCGAGTGCATAGGAATCAGATAATTTGGTGGAGTGACTTTGTAACTAATGCATGAAGTGTCAACTAGACGGCCGTTTGAAGGGATGATGAAGCAAAGAAATGAGAAAAGATTAAAGAATTGCTCGGTTTTTTGATAATTGAATTGCTTTTATAATCATTCACGAGGCTATTCAATTTATTGCGAATTTCTTGCGTTTCGACCCGCTTATGGAAAGACGTCAAAAACGATGTCGTGCATGCAAAACGTGCCGAAAATGATGCAGATAATTCGCGCACTCATTAACGCTGGAAAAGTGGAAAGTACCGACAAAGACGGGCCCTTTTTGCTTAAGATGGCGTGCGCAGAAGGAAAACTCCTCAGAGGAAGTGGAGCCGGCGAAAGAGGGTTGAGAAAAATGATGATTTGTGTTTATAAATATGGTTTGGGCTCTTCCGATAGTTCACATAACTCATGTCTTTGCGAGAGTCACGCTTGATGAAGAGGATCTCTAATCAAAGTGTTGGTTCGACATCGTTTTTGCAGCTTGGTTCGAGCGTCAGGGAGACCTTGTAGAACGTACTTCGTCCCGTGTCCTCTGCCAGAGTATTCGTAATTTCCGGCATCACCGGCGAAAATTTTGAGAATATACCAAGTCGACGGTGCGATGGTGGGCCAAGTTGCGAAAACGAGGTCGAACCAACAATCTAAAGCTAAGGAAGACTGCGACCAAACAGAAGGTCACACCATCTTGGTCTTCATATCCACGATGTATAAGTAGAGTTTTTGTTCTTGTCCACGGACCTGGCTCGAGGCGATCTCCCCGCAGAGTCGTCCTTCATGCAGGCAAGTCGGAGAGGCTCAAGCGCGACTAATGCGAACTTTGCTCTCGGACCTGTCACCGGCAAGCAACGACCCAAATTTGGTCTTCACGAGTCCCTTGTCGGCCTTTGATAGACGTCAGACTCGAGGCGATACTCGGAGTCCTTCACTTCTACTCTGCGCAGAAAAGACGTAACGAGTTGCTAATTCAGCCTAGACCGGATCCGATCTAGAAAGGCCTGATTAATATGTGATCCCGCATACCTTCAAGATGTGAGTATGACGGACAACCCGAGCTGCATAGACCTACATCCGGACATGCAGGCTGAGCAGAAGGTATCCCCAGAAGAGGGCTTCTTCTTTCGGTTGTCTGCATTTCTTCGTCAATCCACCCAACCTCCACTCCAGACAGGCCTAATATGCGATAATAGAGGCACTCGGCCCTAACCAGGCGTCAAGGCAACATCCAACCCGAGTTCTCTTCTCCCGGCACTAGCTCGTGTCGCCAAGGTGAGCTGGCCCCTAAATCTGACCGCTATTCTGTCGCCTTGACTCCAATCCCACCGCACTGCCCCGTGCTCCTCTGCCCGGTCGGCCGAGCCACTGCATTGGCTGGAGCAACTGACGGCGAGTCCCTCTGCCTCGGACGTCACACCTGGTGGCCTAGGCCAGGGGGGTGTGGCCGCCCGGGCCTATGACAGCCCGACAGAAGTCGTCCGTCCTTTTTTCGCGACAGGACAGTCTAGCCATAGAGATGGGCTATAAACGTAGGCCCAGGCCAGTCATGACTTACGTATGAGGCTTGACAAGCGCACACTGACGTGTAGACAGAAGTGTGTGATTGTACGACTGTAGCTATCTTTATAAATCTGCGTAAAGTCATATTCCACATTTTTATGTGAACCAATAGATTATCCTTTCCAGGTAGCCTCCATTATTCTCCAACTTCCCCTCAAAAAGATGTCTTATTGATTAAGTCATTTGGGTCAAGATCGGAGCCCACCACTTAGTGACCCGAACTTTCGTACATGCTGACCCGAGGCAGGAGATCTGCTTATCCCCGTCCGACTCAGAATCCGGCCAACTCAGGTCCAAATCCTGACCCAGTTCCGAAACTGGCCTTGCTCTCCCCTCCAACGAAAGCAACTAAATTTGTCTGCCTGTGTGTTAGTATATGCGAAGTTTGCACATCACTCTGTCCAGGCCGATGTGCTTTGCTCTGTTTGGCTTCAGCAACTCTCGCATGTAGATCAGTGGCCAAAGTTTTTCTCTATTCTCTCTTTCCAGCCCAGTAGGCGTGGCCCAAATACCATGCGCTTTCTCAGCTAATGCCCCATGAGCCTACCAACCTGCCTGTACGTGTTTACGCCTCCCTGTCCGTTTGTCCATCTGTAGTCTCTCGGTCTGTCGGCTTG